AAATGTAACTGTGGGGTGGGCGTGTGTTTGCGCTCAGCTGCAGGAGAGAGGTGTGGGAAGGCTTGGGAGAGCGGCACCAGGTGAGTTGATCACCTCACCTGCTGATAATTAATTAAGACTCTTCCCTTATAATTGGCAGTAGTGTGCTGGACCCGAGAGAGACGCCACGAGGAGTATCCCGTGACCAAACGCCAGAGCATAGACTGCCAACTGTTGTGGATTGCGAGCGACGCTCAGAATAAAAGTGTTGTGTGGCAAACGTTGGTGTGACTATTTGTGTGCTGAGGCAACCCGTCTGTAGCGCGACCTGCTACACTGCGCCCAACGTGGGGCCAGCACACAAATGTCCGAACCACAGCAGCATACGCAGCAGCTCGCCAGCCGCCTTTGGAGCAGCAGCCTTCACAGCTGGTCTCACTGCTGGGGGAGATGCTGGGGCAGATCACGGCAGTACACACCCAGCAGACTGCCACTAATAGGCGGCATCTGGAGGCACTCCAGAACCAGGCGGGGAAGCAGAACCAGCTGCTGGAAGGACTGCTGGCCCGGTCGGGGCACAGTCACCATCTTCTCCACCCTCCTCCTTCTCCGGCATCACCATGCACCGGATGACAGCTGCGATGACCCCCAAACCTTCCTCGAAATGTTCGAGGCAACGGCGGAGGCGTGTGGCTGGCCGGCGCGAGTGGGCCGTGCGCCTGCTTCCACTGCGTGCAGGAGAGTCCCAGACTGCAGCGCTCGCCTGCCAGCTTCTTCTTGGGGAGTTTCGTAACGTAGCGCGACCTGCTACAGTAACAGTCTTGAGGGGTTATATCTAAACATAGCTAGAGCTTGAAATTGCCCAAATTCTTTAGTTCCAGCTTTTACACTGTGAATATTTGTTGCTTTGTCTGAGTGTTCTATGATTGTAAATTGAATGTGTTTGGGTTATGGAGCACTGGTGGGACAAAATATGCAATTTAAATGTGTCATCCTCTGCAGTGGGAAACCGTGATGGACATTTTTTCGACCAAATGTTCAATCAATTCTTTAATCACCTAAAGCTCGCCTTCAGATTTCAGTCACAACAACACAAAACATTAAAACATTACCATAACAGTCCACACTTCTACTCAAATGTATTCCTAGAGGACAGGTAGTACCAGAGCTACCTATCTGTATTAGCATCCACATTTTCATTAGATTAAGTTGAATGATGACTATGAAGGAAATCATGAGGGTTTTACTGTCGAGGAAGTACTTGATAGTAATTGGATGTGATTATACTAGTTATTATCATCATTAGCCACCTGTACGGGTCTTCGCGGATGACACAGCCAATCAAAAATCCTTTCTCATCTCCATGGAAACGTGAGCTTTTGTCTCAGTTGCAATCAGTTTGTTTAAAGAGGACTGGTGTCAGTTACAGCCCAGTGGATGTGACAAAAAAATACAACAAACCTTCATTAAGGCAGACATGGCAGGCAGCCTCATCATAGCAGCCAGCTTGGGCCTGGATCCATTCTGTTTTGTGTGATCTTTAATTATCAGGTGGATCTGAAACAAAAGCTCACTGCTCTGAGGTTGTTTAAACAAAGAGGCTGGGATATTCTATAACATATCATCTCTCTCTAGGGGAAAGTAAGTTAGGATAGGCTCTGATATTTAAAAGAAATATTATATTTGAAGTGAGAGCAGTGATGAAACATAATACTTTTATTTGTTGTATTGGTGTAGTTTAATTGTGCCTCATATGCGTACATGATGCATGATGTCAGCCCCATGGCAAAACGTTAATGATTAGCCTGCCAAGTCTCAGTAAGAAATGACTGCACTGCCTGAGCAGTGAACACTTCATTTGCTAGGAAAATGATGTACAGTGTGTGTCTGACATGGCATTGCACAGCCCGACGTCCTGTCAGCGTGGATTAAAAAGTCACAGACTGTGATGGGCTCTCACAGACCTTGGCACAAAGTTGACGCCCCCTGGGCCAATGCTTTTAACATTTGTTTTTTATGCAAAACGAGTTAAGGCCAGGGACAGTTAGGGTGAAAACTGCAGACAAGGGACACACTGGGACACGAGAGAGAGAAACAGAAGGGAGACATACAGATAGTGGAGTAGAAAAGAGTTAATGGCAGAAACTGAGAACTGCTAATGTTCACATAAGATAAATACGTTAAGCCTACCCTAAGGATTTAAAAATGGGAAATAATTAACCACACATTTGATATTAGTGGCATATGACCACTGTTGAATCGAAGCCCTATTTCCAAGTCTTTCCTTTATCATGGTCGGAAAGGAAATCACAAAGCCCCTCAACAATTATTTCTCTTACAGATTGGTATCATTTGTTCGAGCTCAAGAGGAACCTATTCATCATGTCAGTGTGACACTCATGCTTATTTGTGACCTAGCATGACGAGTCACCTCTAGCACAATCGACTTCTCACAGCCTTCGTCACAGGGAGAGATTTAAATCTATCCACAACCAACAGAATGGGTGACCGGTGTTCAGTAAAATACCACAGATTTTTAGACCTTTGGCTCAGCATCTTTTTTCTGTTCTTGGTTGTCAGTGACTTAAAGAATCCCCGATTTTGTTACAGCGCTCAAATACTTCCTCAAATTCCAAATTTTCATCTCAGGTCACTGTTGTATAGTCCACAGTTTCGTTTTGCATTTCATTTGCATTATGCCCGTTACATGTTAGACTCTTTACATATCTGACTTCTTCCTGCAGTCCACAGATAAGGACAACAAGTGACTGCAACAGGGATGTGAACAGTGTTGGATGAAGTACACCGACTCTTTGCTAAACTAAAAGTACCAATACCACAACATAAAAATACTCCATTATAAGTAATAGTCCTGCAAAATGTACTACCAT